GCAGAATTCAATACAAGTAGTATTCAAACACAAAAATGGTGAAATTTTGAATTTAGAAACATCCGCAGATGTGTTCATACGTCGGTTATTACTGAAGTGCCATTCCATTAAAAGAGGTGAATGGTCCCAAAGTAAAAGAATGCGTGTGCCCTCAACGAGAAAACCATGGGCGGAACTAAATAAATTGAATTTTGAAAGGGGATCTGAGGTTATGAAACCTGTATATCATACAAGACGTCAATAGACAATTTAAAAAGCAGGCAACATATCCGATGGGTGATTTTACAGTATTCAAGTAGAAATACTCGATAAAACAGTTTGAATTAAAAGGATTCATGAGTTAAATACAAATAGTTAGCAATTTAAATATTCTATAAAATAGTATTACTGCATTTCTATTTACAAATTAAGTTAAAATGATTACTAAAAGACAATCTGATAAAATTTGAGACAATATTTAATAACGAATACTAGTGTGGTGGAAATGGGGAAAGGAAAAATCGGGTTGCTAACGACAATGAGAGCATTTCTCTGAATGTAATTATGTCTCCAAAAATATTTGGGGCCAAATTGTTTTTCCCTTCGCCATCTGTCTGTCCGTCCGTACGTCCGCATTCAGCTTGTCCGGCTTTCACATGTCAAGCGGCTTGCCTGATTCCAATGAAACTATACAGGAGTGATCAGTATCATCCTTAGTTGTGCATATCGCCGGCACGTTCCCCTTCGCTGCACAGAATGGCCACGAGAGCTTTAAATAGAAAAATCGTGTCCGGCTCTCACAGGTCCAACTGCTGGCGAGATTTCAATGAAACTTCACAGGAGTGATCAGTACCATCCCTAGATGTGCATTTGGCCGGCGCGTTCATACGCTACACAAGTAACCGCAAGAGCTAAACAATTTTGTCCGTTTTTCACAGGTCAAACTGCTGTGAACAGTGATCAGTGCCATCCCTAGTTGTGTATGTCGCCGGCATGTTCCGCTTTGCTGCACACAATGGCTGTCAGAGTTATAAATTGAAAAACAGCTGGCGGGATGTAAAAGAAACTTCACAGTGATCAGTACCATACCTTGTTTTGGGAGACATCAGTTTTTGTGACAAAAAACACTATTTATCTAAACCATTTTATTACTACAAAAGGTTAAAAAAAATCATTATGTTATATCCCTGGTTTCGTGTAAAGTATTTGTCGTAACATGTTTAGGCTGCTAGAAATATTTGATTACTTTGAACTTACAAGGAAGTTATCGTCAGTGATTCTTAATCCTTCTTCCTGTTCCACTAATTACAATCCTTTGTATAAAAGAACGAACTTGACAGAAATATAAACGTTTTTTATTTCCTTGTGACATATAGGCTCAATGTGTCTGGTGCCTTATACCCGTATTGAATAGTATGTATCTGTTTTATTTATGTGAGTACTTATGCGCATTTCACAGTAAAAATATCATAGCATATCTAAGCAAATATTATCTATAGTAACATAGCTTTCACATTTATGTTTTTGTTGGTAAACAATGTTTTAAATAACAAACATGTATCGAAAATACATGATTTATATTTATTTCTTAAATCATAAAAAATAAACGTTTAAAGATTTGTTCAAGTTTGTGACTTTGTGATTTAATTAATTCACTGTGTTAAAGTACATCATGCACACAAAAGATGTACTTAGTAGTATTTTAAAGGCGAAATTTGATTTCCTTAATTAGCATACATTACAAGAAATGTCCGTGTTATGATAATTACCACATTTTGAAGTAAATTTGCGCTCGTTTCTGAAATTATCAGGCGAAATAAAGGAGTTTGACATATGTCCTGTTTCCTTTCTATACAAATTCGTTAACATAAATACATTTATAAATGACTGGTACTTAAATTAATGACATCTTAAATAAGAGTTAGTCACTATGTGACAACAGGTACTGTTATACCTTTTCAGACTTAGTGTTAGGTTACACATTATGATTGATGGCATACTCCCTCGCGGAAACTATTACAGGCACTTGAACAGAAACTTGAATCAACTTTTCTGAATTTAGCACAAGGGTAATTTACATTTTAGGGGCCATATAACTTATTGTTATAAGATTCATATGGTATTTGTACTGGAATAAAGTACATTTTCATTAGATTTGAATGGATCTGGTAAATAAGTATTTAACATAGTTAGGATAGGTTTATATATTTGTTGTTTCTGGTTGGCGTAATTGGGTGTTTGACTTTAATGAGTTTTTTGGTGCCATATATATACATTTGCCTTTTGGGAAAAATAAATCACTTCGTGCGAATCATTATTATTGTGTTGGTGTCAGAAAGAGCTAAGATAATCCTTTTCACTGTTGTGCTAAACAAATCAGAGTATTCTTATTTATGAAATGGCGCGTGTGATAGTTGTTTTTCTCGTGCTTTATCAAAGTCTCGTGCCTAGGTACTGCTCGAGATTATTACCTGTATATGACATAAGAACGGATGAAAAGTTTTCCTTTCCCGAGGAGTTTCTAAAACTTGTACTGGAGTATCAGCTTCGTGAACATAAAGGAGCATATTCGTTTTACGTTCCGGAGCATCTCGATGAAGAAGGTTAATTTTAATTTCTATAAATGTATGCAAATAAATATAACCACTTTCAAGCTGAAAAAGTCTTCCATAACGTTTTTTTAGCATTTTACTTATTTTTTTTCTAAATTATTGTTATTTAATTATACGACTGCTGCGTTAAAGTTCACAAATTGATGTTACATATAATGCAAAACATAAAAAATAACCATATAGTTTAAATGAATGAATTATGAATGTGTATTACATTGAATAAATATGTTTGGTATAAGGTTTTGTAGTTTCTATTGCTTCAGGGTTTTACAACAATCCCTGTTAGTATGAACTGCACATTTTCATTCAAATAAAATCATATAAAATTTGTAAAAGCGTATAAAGCTATATATAAAATTTATAAACATTAGAAATTATGTTGTTTCTCTGAACTTATGGTAAATTCTTCAAAGAGTTGTAAGATAAATATATTTGTTTTAAAAACACACGAATAGTGTACCAAATTAAATGTTCCGAGACAAACTATTATTTTGCTCTTTTGAATAGGATTTTCTTTTCTCCATTTAGTGCATATGCCATTCGCTTTAAAGAAAATATACAAACATGCTTTTTCCAAATTCTAACGATAAGTTTATTAACTACAGACATGAAATATATATATTTACACACTTTTAAGTGAATGAATATCTTTTATACTGTTATTTTCTAAATTTCAAAAATTGTATAATTGCGTTTGCATAAAGATTGAAAATAATTGTCAACCGTATCAACCTAGTACGAAATAAGAATAAACATTCCCAGTCCCCCTTGTTGTTAAAACAACAGTCCTGAATTATAAATACACTGTTAAAAACAATTGTTGTTAGATGCACTCTAAAGATGTGTGCAAGCGCAAACCATGTGTCATTGTAAGTTAGTGGTTATCTGGAAATAAATTTTGGGGGTATTTAATGCTTACAAATGTTCGGTTAGAGTATTTTGTACAGAATATCTTTTAAATTGAACTGTTTCATTATTAAAAATATTGACCTAATCATTAATAATAATGTACGATTCTTCGTGGTTTTATTGCACTTAGGTAGTGGTGTAGGATTTAATTGCCTTAAATATGAATCTGTTTTCACAATTAACTATTCTTTTCTCTCTTGTTATTAAAAATGAACGACATAGGCAAGTAATGAAACCACAAACGTGAGAGTTAATTGTTGGTTAAATGAAGGAAGATTTGAAATTGAATCAATGGCTATCATAGGAGCGTCTTCCTTCCTGTATTGTGTTTGCGTGTTATGTTAAAAAAATTAAAATATAAGGCAAAACAAGAAATTGTTTGTATATCAAATACGGGTGTTTTAAGTTAGCTATATCAATAAACATGCATTCATCAAAGCAGCTACGTTTGAATGTATTCGCGAGAAGAAGACTTTGATTTATTTAATGGAACAAACGCATTCGTTCCTACAACAGAAAAAAATAACCAGTATTAGCTAACAGTATTAATATTGAGAACCGTTATATGCATTTATTTTACGCTCATATTCTTTCAAATAGAAATATTTCATACATAAACTCAATCAGCTAAGTATTATAAATGCCATTCAATGAAGAGTTTCATGTTAACTTATAATACACCCTTGTTGTCAATTTCATTGCACAATATTCATCTTCTGATATAATAACGTCGTTTTTTTAACATTGCATTTGATTCACATTATGTTATTTATATATGCAATTTGTTCCGTATTACTCGTATATATTTAATCAATTACACTTCGGTCTGAATTATATGATAACATTGTCATTCATTGTTTGAGTCAAGTAAAATGTTATTAAGACGCGCCAAAAGATGAATGAAAGTGCTTGCAGTACAATGATTTTAATATCAAAAATGATATTAATTAACCTCATAAACCATAAGACATTGTTATTACGATTATTGTCGTCGTTTATTTCTTTACAGTTATTTGTTAATTAAAAGATATACGTATCATAATGGGGAATTTCCTTAAGAAGCAAAAAAAAAAATAATGAATTAACACCTCAAACTACAGTTACAATAAACAAAAACAATATTTCTATATCTTACTGAAAATACCACATTCTGATGTCACATTTAGCGACACACAGAATGTGTATCGACTATTTAGTTAATTATGTAAATGAATCAAATTAATATCCTCGAGAGGGAATTCTCTAACTTAATGGCGCGATATGGTGTTTCTCAAAATTTAAATTAACATTCAACAATGTAATATATCGAGTGTTTGCATGCGAACAAATATACCCGCACATATGTGCGTATAAAACCTATTTTGATTCATATGCACATGCATACCAGAAACAATGCAATATAAGGTATAAATTTGTGTTGATTATTGTAAACATAGTAGAAATGTTAAAATAAGTTTATCATGATGTAAAGATATACATGCCATTATTTTCTTTTTTTAGGATATATCATAAACGAAAATGGTCAATTAGTACCGTTCAAGATCTACAAAAAAGGCGTAAGTATGATACACACTTAACATACACATTCAGTCGGTAAACAACGATACATCTATGGCTGTAATAAATTTTTATACAATGTGTCTATATAATTATCTAAAATGTCTGAATTAACAAACGACATAAATCTGAAAAAAGTAATTTAAAAAACTCGTTTTGCCCGGTATAATAAAAGCGAGATATCCTCTTGAATGCATATGATATTTGAATCGTAAGCAATGACATAATCCGTCGAAAGAAAATTTAAACAATTTTATATTTTATAGTATTTAATCAAGTCTTAAATAGTTAAATATTTTTTTACAATTAGCATGTTTGAATGCTTGATTTTCAACGTTGATTGAAATGTAATAATATTTCTAAATTGCGACTGGATGGATTATTTGCTCTACATTATTTAAGGGAATATTTCATAAGCAATATTAAATATCATTATTGGCTGTTTCTTTTTATTTTATTCTTACACACTTATACATAAATGAACGACATTGCATATTTATTCAATAGCAACAATTTTCCAAATCCTCAGAAAGTTATATCTGTCATAACAATCAGCGCAATATTATGCATTGTTCCACAGGGACGTTGTCAAATATAGGAAAAGATTAAAGCTTTCAGAAGAATAACACAGTATTGGCACTTTCTTCATGTAATAATTCAGAAAACCCTTGGCAAACTATTTAAACATACAGCATTATCCATTAAAATGATTGTACCGATAAAGAGTCTCTTCAATACTCAAAGGAGAACGTTAAACATATAATAAAATCAATTTCATCGCAAGACATTTCCAACTTAATTTTTCTCGATTTAAAGCACAGATGGCGGAATGACAGAATGTAAATGCTTCAAATAAGTTTATTCTTAAAAATTCTGAACCCACTGACAAAGTGCAGAAAATAGCATGTATATAGAAATGTCATATACCATTTTATCAGAAAGCAGGAAGAGAATACGTCTATATGCCAATAGTATAAGTCGAGCAAATTTACGTTTCGCATCAATGCTTAAGTATATTTGAATGAATCAAAATATAAATAGTTAAACAGCTTTTACTAAGAAACATTTTTCAAGAAATAGGATTATGCGTGGACATTTTAGTATGCTTTTGCTGATCTTTTTTTTTTTTACATTCCATGCTTTCTGCAGAACCACGTGAGTACACGTTTATATTCAGTTATCAGAATATGTAACATATCATTATGAGAGTGGTTGACTTAAAATCATATTTCAATATAAAGAGAGAAAACTGCTATTCATTAAACAGTATACTAAGTTAAAAACACTTTTATTTAGTTTAGTTATATCAATTGAAACTCGATTGTGAAACAAATCCTTGCAGCTCATATTAATAAATTTCGAGCCCGTTTTCGGGAACTAACCAGTATATGTGTCTTATAAAGAAACATAACCATGAACCAGAAAGGGCTCGAACCTACGATACCGGAAAAGAGCGACAAACATATTGACCACACAGCTGCTATGCTCATTTTGTATTATATTGGCTCGAGAAACAATTATATTTAAAGAGAAATACATGTTCTTATAAATAATGTTTTTATGTTTCGTACAAGTGTGTTATTGATTATTTGTCTCTTTGGGGTTTCATGCCGTGTTTCATTCATGTGTGCTCACATCTCGGCAGTCGGTCCACCTAACGACTTTCTTGATAAGTATCTTATAATTACCAATTTCTCCACAAGTGACCGACTTCTAATCCAATATAATTTCCTTAATCAGTGTTGAGAGACAAATGACCATAAGATTAAATGTTCGAGGTCAAATTGTCATGGAGCAATGTTGCCTAGCCATATGCTCTCCCTATTGAGCTACTGACTCGAAAATATTACAATACTAGTAAAATTAAAGCATTTAGAACGAATGTTCATGCTTCCAAAGACAATGATTAGATAAAATAATAATATAATCAATGTTTTTGATGTATGTTTAACAACATAATCACATTAGAAGCTAATAACAATTATCTAACAAATACAATGTCTTTTTGTTTTAATTTCAGGGGTCACGTGTAAGTAATAAGTTTACATTCTATCATTTTATATTTAAGTTTTTATAATTGAGTATATCTTTACAATCGAAATTCGCTAAGTGTAACACAATTAAAGAAAACTTTGTTTCATTGGCATGCAAAAAGCCTTTTTCGAAGTATAAATAAATACTGAAGATTCTAAAACAAATATCATCATTATTTATAAAATACAATTAATGTCCGTCTTTTAAAATCAGAACATTTCTTAAAAATAATGTTATGTTTTGCTCTTTTATTAATGTTATATTTTTCAATTACTTTGACAGGTGGTGAGTACAAGCATGTAATCTTTTTCAATATCCTTCATTTAATTGTGTTTGTGAAGTGTATTACATGTACTTGATTGTATTATTGTAATATATTTTAGTTCTATGTCAAACCGGATGTTATTTATAGGTATCCTTTTTTCTCTCTTTTGTCCCTGATTATTTAATAATTTTCATAGCATGTTTACAAACAGCGACAGAACCGTACATAATAACTACTAGTATTTTGTTAAAGAATTATCTCACTGCGTATCATTTTTGTTAACGAAATCAACTAAGTCAAATAGATTTGCATATCTTAGCATACAACGTCATACGTCTAGAACTCTCATAGAACCATCTGATAGATTCTTTTACACACAAATACAAACTCGTTTTGGCTACACTATATTATTTGTACCATATGATAAAGGCTTATTCCCCTTGCTAAGATATTTTTTCTATATGTCGTAAATTTCACAAAACATTCTACCTATTGATTAATTTTTTGAAAGATAAAAAGCTTTAGTTTCATGTAATTTCTAATTGATATAAATAACAGTATTTAGATAATTTTCGTGATTTTTCCGAAGCATTTATTCAATATTAAATTGCTTCACATTATGTCTACAGAGAGTTTCACAAATTTGAGTTATATACATATACATGTCTGATTATATTGAGTTGCAGTGTTCTTCACTTTCGCGAATTTATATGACTTAATAGACATTAAATTCATGCGAAATTCAAAATAAAATTTATTCAACGTGTATTTGAAGTGATTTTTATCATTCGATTTATTATATTTATTTTTTTTTTTCACGCCGCCTGAAACAGATGTGTTTTGTAAGTAACCTTTTATGTATATTGCACAACTGCTCATAAATGATGTTTGTTATTTTCTTTATCCTTTTGCAAAATGAAACTTATTTGTAGTAAACAAATAATACGACGTCTTGCGCATAAAAAAACTTAAAGTGGATAGATGGACACATTTTTCATTAGAAGTTCAAGTATCGATCAAAACAATAAAAAATTATCAATTTGATACTCGTATACAGTATTTTTTTTGTAAAAGACAGAGCGTTAAAACATTTAATATAAGCATTTTTTATGATAAATAATATTGTGTTGTATTACATCTGTATCTGGTAATTATATCCCCTTATATTCCCCAAAATTTCCCCCTATTTGATACTTTTCGATAAAATTTCTAAGTGATTATCAGATTTTAAAATCATCTGTTTTTTGTCATTTTCACAAATTGTTAACATGTTCAGTGTTTCTTACTTTCCGCAAACAAATAACATTAAATTCATTAAAAGAAAATTTATAAACGGTATTTGAAGTGATTTTTATCATTCGACTTATTATATTTATCTTTTTTTCACGCTGCCTGAAACAGATGTGTTTTGTAAGTAACCTTTTATGTATATTGCACAACTGCCCATAAATGATGTTTGTTATTTTCTTTATCCTTTTGCAATATGAAACTTATTTGCAGTAAACAAATAATCCGACGTCTTGCGCATAAAGAAAACTTAAAGTGGATAGATGGACACATTTGTCATCACTAGTTCAAGTGTCGATCAAAACAATACAAATGTATCAATTTGATACTCGTATAAAGTATCTCTTCTAAAAAACTTTGTTTACAGAGCGTTAAAACTTTTAATATAAGCATTTTTATGATGAATAATATTTTGTTTAAATCTGGTAAATAATGATACATGATATCGGATCATGTATATCGCATTAACTAATAACATTAATTAATGTTTCCTTTATGGTTTGTTATTACGAATGATATAATTATTAATGAAATTGCAGATCTTCCATTATAGATCAATACACAATACTTAATAAAATTTGTCATGATTTGGCACCAAAATATATTTATACAAAATTGTGTTTTCTTACTTATTAAAAAAAAACAAAAAAAAAAACAGCAACAACATACTTCTGTTTTGTTTTTAATTATTAAAGATTCAAAGATGTTTGGAAAATACAATATATATGAACAAATCTTTTTACCTCTTTAAATGTTGAGAACTGGTGTTGCTATATATATTTTTTAATGCGTTTATTTAAGGTCGCCGCCGGAAAGTCCATATGGGCGACCATACACTCAAGTCGGGCCATCCTAGATCGTCCCGCCGATATTTTTTCGTCGATTTTTTTCCCAGCTTTATTGGTGGAGGAAGACCCCAATTGCCCCTTCGGACATTATTTCAGGCACGAGCGGGCACCTGGGTAGAACCACCGACCTCCCGTAAGCCAGCTGGATGGCTTCCTCACATGAAAGATTTCGACCCGAGTGAGGATCGAACCTACAGCGGTGAGGGACCTGTGATCTCAAGTCAGCGACTTTAACCACTCGGCCACGGAGGCCCCTGTTGCTATATCTGGATAATTTGGTTTATATACATTTGTTACAGATATTTATGACTTTATGTTTGTGTTTGCACATTGACAAATTTAAGCAAGTATTTTATGTGTTTGCCATGTCGTCCGTATGGAGACGATTTATCTTATTTTTACCATTCTATTTCAGCTGCATCCTCGCAACTGCAGAGGAGGTGTAAGTACATAAAATCTTCATATGTGATTTGTTCACATTCTAATGAAACTACTTTATTAAAAGAATGGGTAACGTAAACCCGTTTTCAATTCAAAAGTGAAATTCAGTAAACATCAGGCTAATTTTATTCATCAAAAATACTTGAACCGAGGTGTATATAGTCAATTATTTTACAATAAAAAAACAGTCAACCTTTGATAAATACGCCAAGCACTTGCTTCAATAAGTATATCTACAATCATAATCCATTTAGCATAATTTAATCTATCTCTGAAAACATTTTATATATTTTCAGTTTCATAAAAGACTTATCGAAGACGTAAGTATACATTAGTTGATAACAGAATGATTAAGGTTTAACTATGAAAATTTATGATACAGCGTGGGGGCTATTAAATAAAAATACCATTTTTTTAAAGTTTAATCATACATGTATAATAAGAGCTACCAATAGGTAGATTTCATACAATAAATTACCCAATCAAGTTAAACAAATATGTGTTCTGAATAAAACATTTCATGTACCGAGTAAGGAAAGAATTTTTTTATGATTTTTATGTCTTAAACTGTTATAAATTTTGTTTATTTAATTCAGTCACTTATATGATGCCTGATTATTTTGTTGATGGGTACGTAAATACATTTATCATAAACCATCAGTAAAACAATAATAAGGAAAAGCCCTTTTTTAATCTGATCTGTCCTTTCTTATGTATTTTCGTATATGCATAATTCATATTTCAGCCAGTTAAAGGGGGACTAGATGATCTGTATGAACTGAAAGTGTATAAAAGAAAATATAAACAAAACGATGCAAATCAGGACTCGAAATCGTCACATAGAACGGGAGAAGAGAAACTGTTCAGTTCTAAGAGTCTACAAAATGAGCAACCCAATTATGGTTTTCCAATGTATGAAGATAATGTATTGAATTTATTTCCATCATTGAAATCAAAGTATATAGAAGATGAAATAGAAGGAATCCCTTATTCTGAGCCAAACATGGAAACCTATGAGGACATGAAAGAAGCAAACCAATTGTTGAACGACTTGGGCACAGGACTCGGACATGTTGCTGATCCACCACCATTGCAGTCAGAACCTCATTTAAGAGCCGAAGTTGAACAGTATCCAGCTTATGAACTTTGGGGAGATTATAATACGAATTATGACGTCAGTGACGATACGATAAAAGATACATATTCGCCTTCACAGAGTGTTGATTTATATTCATTTAGAAGACGAATGTAAGCAAAGTTAATTTCTCAAAAATGAAAGACTTTTAGGGACCCTTGACTCTAAAACATGTTTACTAAAACACAAAACAGAAATCATCAGCTTGATATTTAATCTGTTTAAGTATCAGAAAAAATAATAATTATTTAAACAGCATTTAATATGTTGCCATGTACAAATGATAGTTGCCTTTGAAAAATATAATTAAAGCCACTATAATTATTGTAGTTGATAATGTTGAACACATTCTGTGTGTCTGGATGTTTATTTTCTTGTTTGTTCTCTCGAATTTTGAATCTTGTCTAGAATATATTAATAAACAAATATAGAAAAATGTCGGCAAGTAAAATGAGTTCATTGTTTTTATGAGAAACATCGACAAAACCTATTATAACAAAGACAGGTAATCATACAGGTCTACTCCTTTGCCATCAGCATATTGCGTGACCAGCCTGTATACCTGTGTGTGCATTCTGACCAGGTAACAGTAATTAATGACAATCTGACAACAGCGTTTAAATATAAAATATTCAATGGGCTTCAAAACATTTTTACCTGTATTTAATACGCCATTGTTCAGTGAACATGCAAAATCATTAAAATCATTAAATTTGATTACACAGAACAAATTAAAAAAATATCTGGTAACGCAATGATTCCTAGACTCCAATGTTAAAATTACATTCTGTGACATAAGGTTAATGTTTCTCCTTTTTAAAGTGTCAAGCTACTTCCCTACTTATACCTGAAATACACAAATTGTCTTTTAAAATTCTCAGCATAGTCAGTAAATCTAACAGTCTAACATTTTTGAAATATTACAATGTCTGATGTTTGATGTCTGTCTTCATTAATAATGATTTTAACTCTTTTTTTCATATTCGCTTGACTTTGGGCATCCTATTTTTGCTATTTACCCGTCAACTGTTGCATATTTCTTATATTCCTCTTATCATTCTGAAACTTTTCTACAGTTTTAACTTGTTTAACAAGCAATTATCATAGTATTGCAAGCAATCCATAAGACCCCTACCGGTTAGAACCCCAGCAACATTCTGATTTCAATTTTACCAGTGAATGAATGACATGAATGATCTTAAAACTTTTGAGTTCTAAGTTTGTCTATTTCACAGTAATGTGTTAAGTTTCCCTGCCTAGTAAGGCAATTATGTTTATACAACCTTGTCATATTATTACGATGTGGGATTTTAAAGTAAATCCTATAAGGAATGAAGAAGTTGGAGTAAAAAATACCAATTTCTCGAAAAAAATCTAAGTTCAAACGGGACATAATTCTGGAAATAGTCTTGCTAGAGTATTTAACCTTCTCAAAAATGTTGAGTGATAATAAGAAACATATATATGAAGTTTGAAGTAGATACATTAGGAAATAAAGAAGTTATTTAAAAAAGACAACATTTTTTTCCATAAAAATTCTAAGTTCAAGGGAGGTAATACTGATAATTTTTGTGCTACAGTTGTAAACCTTGTCACATATGATGTGGTTGATGACCAGAAACTTATATTTAAAGTTTAAAGTAAACACCTTAAGAAATAAAGAACTTATAGTGAAAAAGCTGAAAAAATTAAATCAGAAATCTTCCAGGCTATTTGTTGCCATAGCAACCAGAATTTTCAACATAGGAAGAAAAGAAAAAGATGTGCATAATCTGCAGACTGCCATCTACCCATATTTTATGTTTCATAAAAATATTTTCAGTACTTTTTGAGTAATCACTGGATTCAGTTTATGTGTTAAATTTGCCATATTTTCAGAATATTTGTTGCCATAGCAACCAGAATTTTTAACATAGGAAGAAAAGAAAAAGACGTGCATTATCTCCATACTGCCATCTATCCATATATCAAGTTTCATAAAAATATTTTCAGTACTTTTTGCGTTATCGCGGGATCCAGTTTTGTGGACGGACGGACTGACGGACTGACAGACAGACAGACGGACAGACGGACGGAGGGTAAACCTAAAGTCCCCTCCGGTTAAACCGGCAGTGGACTAAGAAGGCTGCGACACAAATGGGTAACCATCTGCTGGCCCCCGTCAAGTAACTGACCAGTATCTTAATCAAGTGACTCCTTGTGCGAGATCAATTGTCGCAGATAAAGATAGCACTGTAACTGAAAATAAAGAAAAAAATTGTAAATTATCAATTACGTCCTTCGTCATTATTTCTTATTTGATTTATTTTAGTTGCATGTTTCTACAATAGTAACACCGGATGATTTCTTTACTTGAACACAATTATTTTCTCATTCAAATTAAATCAGTTAAAACTAATTTCATTTTCGCCCGCATATTCACTTGTGTCAGATTTATTTCATGAGTGAACGTTTTGTTGGAAGAAGTTAATTTAAGAGAGTCTTCCTGATATCACTTGTGTAAATGTTATCTGTGATGGATGAGCGTGTTTTTTGAACATTTATGCATTTTCAGAACATTGTTTTGTTCATAACGTTTACAGAAAGGAAGAATTTGCCTACTAGTTAGGTATACACACAAAATGTATACCGTGATTTAAAATATGATAAACCCTGAAATCCGAATTATATCTTTGATAACTGTAAACAGAAAACATGCTCTTTATCCTTAAAAATGATGATTGAATAAAAGTTTTTTCAATTTATTTATTGTTACGATTAATAATGTAGAAAATTAACATTTTATTCGGAATTGGTGTTTTTTTCTAGTCGTGTGGTTTATTCCTCACTTGAAAAAAAAACAAGATCAAACAAGGAAGGACGGCGTACAAGGAAAACTGTTTAATCACCCTTAGTATATGTTGCCTCCTTATTCATTTGTCTTGGAACACCTTATCTGTAAAATAAAGGCTTCATAACCACTTACCCCCCTAATAATTTCATTTTATTTAGTTTTGCACATTTTTTTCTTGATCGGGGACACGGGTTGTTTTTACTTGAAAACCATATGCCGCTTTACATGGATGGCATTAATGTTAAATTGAAGGTTTTATGATAACCGTCATACGAGCATATCTGTGACTGTTTCAAAATTTTACAAGTTCATGTTAAACGTTTAAGCCGGTACTAGTGGGCATGTACGGAAGCTTGCAATTACTACTTCCTGCCATAGAAGTCTAAATCAAACCCGAGTCTGCAACATTTTTAGTTTTGTTGGGCTTTCTTTAGGGATTCTGTTTTTCTCAATTTTAGTGTTCAATGTCCCTGTCACTTATAGAATTTCTAACCGCAAATGTAATGAGTTTGTTTCCTATTGTTTACGTGTACAGTACAATGATATATGATTGAATTTTGGATTTCGAAAAAAGTCAGTGAGTCACGAAGTTCGCTTTTTGTTTGTTTGGTATTACTCCGATTCATCACAGTTTTTGGTCATATCTCTCGCTGACATAGCTAAACATGACTGCATGGTTCGAATGTAGACACGCATATTCGCTACTTATTTGTAGAATGTCTAAATAGCGGGTAACAATAAAAGCCGCTCGCATATTTTAGCGAGTGAATAAAAAATAACTTAAGTCTATAAAATAGAGAGAAATAAGAATCCCTAAAGACAGCCTAACACGGCAAAATTGAAAATGTTGCAGGCTCGGTTTGATTGAGCCTGTTCATGGACGGTACTGTCAAGTAAAAACAAATACCGTTCACGCCCTCTAGCACCGGCTTAAGCAGAATTGAACTGGTAAAATTTAGAATTTTGAAACATCCGCAGATGTGTTCATATGGCAGTTATCATGTAACCTTCAGTGTGACACGTTAGTGTCATTCCATGAAAAGCGGCATATGGTCCCCAAGTAAAAAAATCCGTGTGCCCTAAACGAGAAAACGATGGGCGGAACTAATTAAAATGGCATTTTGATATGGGATCTGAGGTTTTGAAGCCGGCATATCACAGATATGACGTTTAAAGACAAATTTAAAAAGCAGGCCACATATCCTAAAGGTGATTCAACAGCATTCAATTGAGGAATACTGGAACTACCCAACAAGAAAGATGCCTAATAGAAAGAACTAAAATACCACAAGCTCAACAATAATGCCGTGCTGAACGATCTTTAAGGATCGGAAATATAACATCCCTAATTGAATGTACGGGGCGACTTTTTACAGCCTCCACACGGCACAAACAACGCTGATGTGGCGACTGTAAAAAAGTCTACTTTTCAATAAATGTTTGTATAAAAACTAAAATGAAACTTAAAACCCGCAAAAAGATCGCCTAGTTAGATCGTCTCACGCGTTTTTTTAGAAACCTTTAACAGACTTTGAAAAAATGATTGAACTGCAAAACATTTTAGGAGACGCATGTGTTAATGGTAAAAGTGACAAAAATTAAGTAATGACATAGGTGGGGAGTATTGTGACAATGTTTACAGTCTATTATATGATGCCGGCTATTTCAGTTTCTTTTACGTGACGGATCCAGTGACAGAGCAAATACTGAGAAAGAGGGGATCATTGTTTAAGTTCTTGAAAACTAATATCTAAAAATATACTTAAGTCAAGAACAGCCAGAAAACACAATAAACATCGGGAATATTGGAGGCTATTAACAATGCATTCACTGAATTTAACTTGCGGTTTTACAAACAGAAGACAGTAGGGTTTTGATCAGATAGTATAAATGTATTGATGGGCGCTCGACGTGCCGTTTAATAATGGAAGAAGGAAAAGTTGATTGGCACATAGGTTAGAGTTAGTTGTAAAATACTCATTCAAAGGCACTTATATAGAGAAATATTTGCTTCAATATACCAGTTTTACAAGAGTAAGCATAAGCTAAGCTTAATAAAGAAGTAGTTGATAATGCATAATAACTAGGATAACAATTCCTCAAGCAAGAGAAGACTAACGCTGCAAGGTGGGTCAGACATAAGCTGAAAGCTGTCACTTAGCTACAGTAAATCTGACCTATCGTAGTTTCTCTAATGGTAAACTACGCTGAGATGAAACAAAACATAATGTGTGCACTGACCACTGACACACAAAGAACTTTTTGTTCTATTATAGACTGCATAGCTACGTAGTTTGACAACAAACTGACTGACAAAAGCTGTAAAGCTTTTGACTATAAAAATTGGTAGAGCTTTTCTACTCCTATATGGCATAGATGATGTAAGAGTTGTTTACGGACATTTTGAAAATGTGCTATAAAGACTAGTTGTGATATGGTTTATGCTTTTTGGTCAGCAGGAAGACTCTGATAAGGAAGATAACAAGAACATATTTAATAAAATACATTTGACAAGTGTTTTTGCCCCCTGTGAGCATGATTTTCAACGATGAAACTCGTCAAATCTGACTTGAGATGTAAACTTAGTCAAACCGAGCCTGCAACATTTTCACTTATGCCGTTTTGGACTTTCTT